AACGGTGATGAAGACAACGATGATGAATCAGTTAACAGATGAATACAATGATGATGATGCAGTCAATGTCAATAGATCAACTTCAGTGACTTGCGATGCAGGTCGAAGAATCAAATGTCGAGACAATATATATGAAGTCGATGATAAAAGGTTGTCAAACAATAATGCAGGTGAGAAAAACGTTAGATCATATTAAATGTTCTATTCTCACTGCTGGTGAATTAAAGTGTCGTCAATGCTGAACATCGAGAGAGTCAAAATATATCTTGCAAAACGTACAAAATGTAAATAGGTGAGCACGTCCACCGGGAATGGTCCGGGGACGTAGCAGTTCAATCCTCGTTGGATACAATTTTCTAGGTACAATCATCAACACAATAACAGCATGTACCAATATTAAAACAGCTCACTGATTCCCGCACAGGAAAATCAGAAGAGCGCCAATCAACTACAGCGCGATTGGTTCAAAACAAGCGCACATGTATGTTAATAAGGCACGTGATCTAAATACTTATGAATAAATACGCGTACATCTATGTTAATTGGTCATGTGATCAAAATACTAATGAATAAACATCGTTATATAATAAATCGAGTTAAAACCAGTTCTGAGGACATGGCGTAATACCAAATCCTCGAACTCTCAATGACTTCTAAAGCGGCCATTTTGGATTAAAAACACAATATGTATACCAGTGAATTATAAATGAATGCACTGTAACATTTGTCGCTACATTAACCCCCTACTAGACCCGAGCTTGCGTAAGCTCCGAGGGGCGAAAATACACAATTAAAAATATAAAGGAAACATATGTACAAAATACATTAATATACATGAAAATAACCACTATTTATGCGACACGTTCAATGTAGTGAACCTGAACGTACCTTTGCGGCCAGTGGACGTGGCGGCCTGAACGTGTGACACGCGCAGCAGGTTGCGATTTCACCAGAGCAGGAGCAGGCGTAGGAGCAGGTGCAGGAGCAGGCGCAGAGGTTGCGCGAAGTGCTGTGCGCAGAGGGGAGGAGACGGGAGGCTCTCCCTCTAGAGGCACGTCAGCCGCGGTAGTCCTAGCCGAAACGCTTTCCAAAAATGCGGGTTTCAGTCGATCAATGCTTACAGAAACATGCTTGCCCTTTTGCTCAATAACGAAAAACTTCGGGTTTCGTTTGAGAACCTTGAACGGACCCAAATACGGAGGCTGTAATGGCTTACGGACAGCATCGATACGCAAGAAAATATGCGTACAAGTATCGAGAGACCTATGTACAAAACTGGTCTGTGGTGACCTACGTGTCGCTGTAGGCGCTAAAACAGACATATGGGAGCACGTCCACCGGGAATGGTCCGGGGACGTAGCAGTTCAATCCTCGTTGGATACAATTTTCTAGGTACAATCATCAACACAATAACAGCATGTGTGTATACCAATATTAAAACAGCTCACTGATTCCCGCACAGGAAAATCAGAAGAGCGCCAATCAACTACAGCGCGATTGGTTCAAAACAAGCGCACATGTATGTTAATAAGGCACGTGATCTAAATACTTATGAATAAATACGCGTACATCTATGTTAATTGGTCATGTGATCAAAATACTAATGAATAAACATCGTTATATAATAAATCGAGTTAAAACCAGTTCTGAGGACATGGCGTAATACCAAATCCTCGAACTCTCAATGACTTCTAAAGCGGCCATTTTGGATTAAAAACACAATATGTATACCAGTGAATTATAAATGAATGCACTGTAACATTTGTCGCTACAGTATCATTTTCTTATTTGGCATACTGCCACCTATAAGTATTATTAGGACAGTTTTCGTCTCGATGGGAGATTTGGAGTTGGAATATATTATCTTCAATGGCGTTTTTTAAATCCCATTCCAAACTAACGATACCCATGTAACACCTATATGGTCAGCAGTTAAATTGAATTAATTAAGTCACTTTGGTTTTCCAAAGGGGTGGGAAAGCACGGGCCAGCTGTGGCCACTTCATGTAAAATATTGGTTTGGTTATAGCCTTTCTCCCCATCATATTTCTTTTAAAATTCAATTTCGTTTTCATTTCTTTTTTTTCAACTTTTATTTAGAGGGATACCATAATTTATTTCTTTTTTAATTTCTTACTCCAAGATACCCTTCTTTTTTTTTTTTTAATATGATGAGATAAAGAGAAAGGGGTGCACAAATTTATATTCGTGTGCCCCGCCAAATTTGTGAACTGAAAATGAGCGCCCCTTTATTTTATTTTTTCTTGGCAAGATTTTACCGTTTCATTATTATTATCATTTATAAATGATTATTATTATCACGATTATGATTAGGCCTATCATCATCAGTATTTTCATCATCATTATCAATATTATCATTTATAATTTGTGTTGTCTTAGTTTACTTTATTTTAGTTAAGAAAGTGATATGTTCGTGTACAGCGCCATGAGCGTCAGAGCCTGGCGAATACCGGCGCTATAGAAATATTCATATTCATATTATTATTATTATTATCATCACCACTTGTTTGTCTATTGTGTGTGTTTGACTTTTATAGCGAAAGCTACAATTCATTTCAGATCAACTTTCACAACTCTCTTTCTGCACGCTTCTCCATCATATATTACATCATCCAGTGGCGGATTTAGGATGTATGCCCTTGTAGGGATGTGCCCCCCTCCCTCCCCCCACCTGCCAAAAATCCAGGACTATCTGGAATACCTTAATTTAACATTGTGTACCATATAACTGTGCTCCCCAAAAGCGATATTAGAGCAAGTTTAGACCCCTAAAACACAAAAAGAGGACTTTCCTGTCTTTTTTCTTTTATTTGTTGGATTCTCCCACATTTTTGGAGACAATCCTAATTCCGCCACTGGACCATAATTGGTCTTTCTCATTTTCTCATTTTCTCTCTCTCACCTCTCTCACCTCTTTTCGTCTCTCTCTCTCTCTCTCTCTCTCTTTCTCCCACTCTGTCTCTTTGGCTTGAATTTATTTGTTTATCTTGCATGAATATATCACATGACTGATGTTAGTGTACCGTGTATCCATGGAGATATTATATCTCCATGGTGTATCTTTGAAATAGTCTACAAATTTCTGAAAACGTGTCGCATATGATATCATGGAGGTGCCAATTGTTATTTTGGCAGAAGCAACGGAGGATTCACATGATCAAATTCTAGTGTTTTCAAATTCGACATGGTTATAAGGTTTCAAAGTTAACTACTGTAATCAGGAAAATGTTGTATAAAAGTAATACTGACCTCTGGTAATGAATCTGATCTGATCAAGAAAAACAAAATCATTCTGAATTGTTGATCATGCAGTCACTTTGTTTCTACATGTACCATCAAACTTACAAATACCTATTAAAAATCATATCCTAGAAAAAGCAGCATACCTACATCATTTCAACGATTTAATTATATACATGTAATTGTTCAGGGGGTGTTTCATCCAATAAACGGATTGATGAACTACCAGCCGTTTTTTATATTTTTTAAATCTTATTTGGCTCATAACTCATAATTTTGTATGTTAAGCAGAAAATTGAGACAAACAGGTCAGTGAAAAATTGGGCAAATTCCGTTTAAAAAAAAGAAAGTTATGAATTTTGAAAGTGGCAATGAATCGAACAGAAATTGGCAACATTTGTGACGTATCTTGCAACGTCCTTTCCAAATTGCTTTATACAAAAAAATCATAAATGTTTAATTTCTTAGTTATTGATGACGGAATATATGTCTTTAAAACAGGGGTTTACATAAAAATACAAGATACATCACAGAGTTGCCAATTTGTGTTTGATTGATCGCAGCTTAAACAAATCATAACTTTCTGGTTTCTAATTGGAATTCGCTCAAACTTTCACCGACTTTTTTCTCTATCTTTTCTGCTTCTACCAAAACCATCTTAATATCAGAGTGATGGGACTCCTGGAGTAGGGCGTAACCAGGAAATCCGGATACGTTGTCATGGCTACCGTGCATAACTTCCTGCGGTTGTGTGTGAAGAGCCAGAAGGGCGTTAACTTTGTGATAAAGTTTAAGAGTTAACGTCCTTTTGTCTCTCAGAAGATGTTATACAGTCACACCTGCCTTAGTGACCAACTGTCTACAAAGACCTCCTCTTTACAAAGACCACATTTAATGTTTCCCTTGAGAACAGCTTCTCATTGAAACATGTACTAAAGGAACCTGTCTACAAGACCACTTTTTGTGTTCCCCTTGGGCGGTTGGCATCGCTATAGACAGGTTCGACTGAACACATACATTTTTTAGTGATATTTGTTTGGCAAATACTATCTATCCGAAGTCTTGAAAAAACAATGCAAAAAAACGTTTCAATTCCTTTTTATCATTACCAGAGATCAAGATAACCTTTATTGATTTATTTAATTTAATATGGACTATTCCTTTTAATCCTTTCAGGACAAGCATTCCACATTTTGAGGTTTGGCTCAGTAAATTTTGATTCCGAGCCCCCAAACAAAAAACAAATATATATATATATATACCAGATAAATGAAAAGAAAAGAGCAAAGATGTATGCACAAAATGTGTCAAGTTTCCTTGTATTACCACATTGGGTTTGATGCCATGAATATTAAAAATAAGCTTTAAAATCCTACTAAATTTGCAACATGTTGAGAGGTCTAATTCGTTGTTTTTCAATCAAATTAAGTATGTTTTTCTACTTTTTGACAACATTATTATACCAGTATTTCGTTTTCAGAGACATTGCATTTTATTACAATGTAGCATGAAAAGAAAATATAATTGTTGCTAATTTCAAGAATAAAATGTGATCGATTTAGGTCTAGAAAACTCTGTCCTGAATTCTGTACATGTATCAAATTAAATAAATTAGCTTTAAAGTGCATGTAATCTATTCAGTAGAAAGCAAGCTGGTGCAGAGATAATTGATTTTCTTGTGTTTTCACAGTGATGGGACTCCTCAAGTAGGGTGTAACCAGGAAATCCGGATGCGTTGTCATGGCTACCGTGCAAAACTTCCTGTGGTTGTGTGTGAAGTGTCTTCATAGAATCACACTTAACACGACAGCCACAGAAAGGTCCGCAAGTAGCCTCTCTTCTCTATCTAAGGCCGAGATGACGGTGCCCCAGCATCAGCAGTCCAGGTCAAATGTGATGGTCTCACAGGATAGTCCCCCGATCAGCACACCAAGACCTGCAAAGTTGTCCACCTCATCTCTAGTCCAAGAAGATGACCTTCCATTAAATTAAAGGCTGACTCTGATGGTGCCCTAGCATCAGCAGTCCAGGTTCAAAGTGACAGACCCCTTATATCCTTATTTTTTCAAGACGATGGTACTGATCCGCAGACTAAGACCTGTAGAGTTGACCACCCCATGTCTAGATCAAGTCCAAGAAGATGACCTCCCAATTAATTCGGATGACAATCATCGTCATCCCTAAACACCAAGTCCAAGATAATGTCACGTCACATCCTGAATCTTCAGCCTTGTTCAAATACTATTTCCTATTTTATAACACAGAGCTCAGTGAATACATGTAGGACCTTCGTTGCCCGCAGTTGCTATTCTTTTTTAATATAAGAATAAACAGAGATTTTTTTTTTGGTGGCCAAGACAATCCCCTATGTTGATTCCTTGGAGGTGGAACCTACAGTCTGATGAATGTTTGTAAGATTCTTCTCGGCATTTGATTTTCCAGGCTGTATCATGATCATTTTACGCAACAGCTAAAGCCAAAGAAGGCAGAATCTTGCTGTACCATCACAAAATGAAGAATGAGATTGGATTTTCCCTTTTTTTGTGGGGGAGAGAGAGAGAGAGGGGGGGGGGGGGGCTTTAGAGTAGTCTTGAATAAAAACCACACAAAATTGGCTGAAAATGAAGCATCAGTACCTTTGGTCAACCCTTGAATCCTAATTAAAATTAAAAAAACGATTAAAACAGGTTTTCTTCAGACTTGAAATTTTTCACTGGGAGGGGGGAGGAAGGGATGGTTGTGCTCATTCTTAGCTTCTCTATTCCCAAGCTAGCCAATTTCTCTAATAGGTTGATTGTTCCTACTAGCCACACCTCACCGCGCTATCATCAACCGTGTACAAAACAAAATCATAAATGACCCCTTGTGTAAGTTTACAGGGCTATTAACAATTCATTGGGTTGAGAGCAAGTTGAATCCTGTCGTAAATCACAATCACTAAAAAAAAGAGAGAAGGGAAAAAACAAAATGGAGAAAATCCAGCCCAAGACAATAACAGATGAGGTGTTTCCACTTTTCCCAGGCCCCCAACCTACTTTTCCCCCCACACACCGAGTGGGCGACACCTCAATTGTTAAAATGTCACAACACCCTGTACCAACCCTGGGCAACGAGCCGCCCCCATCATGACCCAGAAACTATCCATCTTTAAAGATTCCCCCCCCCCCCCCCCTCCTTAACATCGAAACCCATCCGTGATTGCAACACTCTGCTCTTCAGTCTTCCCACACGCCTTGTTATCAAGACAGTGCAGGACACCTAACGATAGATAGCGTGACGTCAATGCCGAGAATATCACTTTTCACAATCTCCCCCGTATCACTTGTACCGCCGAGGGAGAGTGTATACGCCAACTTCTAATAACATGTAGATAAGATATGAGAATTGACAGGTACAGAGTTGGGGGCGATGTGCTACTGCACGAGTTCCTATTCAGAACAAATATTCTCGGTCTTAATTGGACAGATATTACATTTGCTCGAGCGAAATGAAACTGAAGTGGCACCATATGGTAGGGTAGAAATGATGTATTGGCATTGGGGTGTATTTCCAGATTGTTTTCATGAGCCGGGGTGGGGTTGGGGTAGGGGACGGGAAAGGGTGGGAAAGTTTGTTCACCCAATGTCCAAATCCCACAGCCTAGCGACATCCGATGCCATGTTGAGAGATATTACTCAACACCGACTAATCTCACTTAATCTAATCCCTTAATCCCAAATAAACCGAAACTGCCACAAATGCTTGACACATGGACGTTTTCTTCTTGCTTGAGATTTACTTAAATCTTCCCTAATCCCCTACCACATGACCAACACATGAAAATAAGCTGTAATGAAGAAGATGAGAAAATCAGAGAGACTTGGTCAAATGTGTAATGTGATTTGAAGAAGAAGGGAGGTACCAGGTAAATAAATAGTAACAAAATGTCAAAATTTGGCATTCTGAAATACTCTCTTTCACCAATTGTCTGCTTTTTAATAGCCATCACAACTTATCAAAAGAACGCTGAATATTTCGAAGCTCTGATCCTACATACACAATTCTGTCCTTATCATAGATGAAATTATAATTTTTGTTAAAAAGCAGATGCAAACCAATCATAGTCCCCTTACATGACTAGTTGGCACTTGTCATTCGAATGCTGGGTTAAGTTATAATCTTGTGTAATCCGATCTAGCATTTATCACCAAATTTTGAATATCACAGCTGCAGAGATATAGTTACAGTGTTGTATCTAGGCTCCATCACATAAAACTTACCATTGATTGGTAACTTTGCTGTTCATGGTAACATCCATGGAAACCTTGATTTGTTTGGCTGTTGAGCCCTGTTACCATGGTAGTTGATATTGATGGCAAAGTTACCATCAACGTTAAGTATAATGCAACGGGACCCCAGATCTCTCGCGCAACAATGACATCTGAATGGAGTTACTTTAACCCTAGTTTGTCATTTATATTCTCTATTCCTATCAATGTCAATGCTACACGCTCCTCTTACTTCTCCTCATCTCTGAGATATTCGCTCCTTTGTGAGAGAGAGAGAGACATTGATTTACACCCCAAGTAAGAGCAGAACAGGCGAGAAGTCATTATTCATCTTTATTTCACCTGTTTTGCCATCAGGCGCATTAGCCTACACACCACCTCCTCCTACTCACATTTTGAAAGTGGGAGTGAGGGGGGGCGGGGGTGGTGGAAAAGAACAGATGCCAGCCGACGGACGAAACAGCCGTCTCGGGAGCCATCAGACACTCTCCATTCTGGGTGGCTTGGCTGATAAAAGAAATATCTGTCGATGACTATGTTGGGGGATGCACGATTCAAGCCTGTTGCACGAAATGCGCAAGATGGTGCTGGTGCTGGTACCAGGAAATAAATGGCATCCATTTGCTTCCAACACCAGAGGGCCTGACCTTTGAACCCCATCAACAGGCTGCTGCCGTATGCCTTTCTTCAACTTCAAGCATCCATCCTTTCCAGGAAGTAAAGATGTTTTTGAGTGATTCCTTCTGGAAGCATGTGTTAAATATGTGTTTCACTATGATTACATCTAAGACAAAGAAATGATAACTTGCAACTCTGACTGAAAAAATAAGAGGCACTATCAAACAGAAATACAATATTTGATTTAATATTCTCTGATGTACATCAATTGTTATTACTATATACAAGGGGCAATTTTTCAGACTGTGTCAAGCAAGGCCTGCTCTGATCTGTGTTGAAAATAGGAGAGTAATTCCATGTTGATATTAAGAAAATTTCTGGCAAATTTCGCTCTTTTTGATACTTTTTAATACAAACATTACAATATTTTCTGTATACTTTTTAGTAATTCATGCTGATAGAATAATACATATATTATATATTTTTATATCCAATGTAAAAACTATTATTTGGTTGTATTTTTCTTTCAAGGCCCTACCTCACAAAAGCATAGGGACATGGCTATAAAACCAAAGATTAAGCTATTCATATTTGCTATGACAGTCTGAGGTTCTAAAAATGGCCGGCCCTTTTTGGTTTCAAACTGATAGTGTCTGAGGTATTGAATCTCTCAAGACACTGACATTTTGAGGTCTAGGCAATTTTGTTTCTTCATCTCAATGCAGTGATAAAAAAAAGAATAAGAAAATCATGGAAGATATCACAGGATTCAGAAGACCTTGCTTACAAATGATTCAACACGATGAGACACCAGTCTCTACCACTCTTCATCATAACCCCCACAGTAGCATGCATGGTAATCTTAATGAGGCAGGAACGCAAGAACAGAGCACCAGTCTGATGCGCCCCATCTGCAAGGCATCTGTTTCTCGCATCATGCCCAGCGTCGATCACTCGTCACAAAGCGATTGGTGCGGTGCTCTGGGGCTCATTATTGTTAAAGGCCCCCAGTAGACAATAAAACCTGTGCAGTCAAAGAAGGGAGAAGAGAGGTTCATTTTTAATGAGTTATTTCAAATATGCCAAAAACAAGTGAACATAAATGAAAACTAACATCCTTTTACTTCCTTTTACAAACTAGTACATGTACAATTCCAATAACTGCTAATTTGGTCATATTAATTTCATTCACTGCAAATATTCAATCTTTTTTTTACAAGACAGTTCAAGCAATAAGTGGGCTGTACGACACCAAAGCTGGTGAAAATATTCTAGCTTCCTTTTTCACTTTTTAAAATCTTGAGCCGTGGAGCAAAAACTGTATGCTAACTATACCTTATCCTAACCTACAACCCAATCATTTTACCTCGTCCTACATTTTTAAAGTTACAAATCCAAGAGAAAATATAGCCAGATCATATGAATGTAAGATCGCTGACAAATTCATTCTAAATATAAAGGTGCAAACAAAAAGCCAAAAGCTCATCTCTATGTCAATCTTTTTTCAGAATAAATTGCTTTCAAAAGAATAGCAATAACGGCAAAAATAACTCCTGATGATATTGTATAGCAGACTGTCAGACAATTACACAGTATTAAAGGCGTTACTACCCCCTGGCCTACAAATACTTCATTATTCAAAGACTTATAAGACCTACGCGCAAACTATAATTGTCGGCACATCACTCAAAGAAAAAAGAAATAAACATATAATGATCACACCCATTAAGGTTCCGATTTCAACTAATCTGCAGCTCGCCACTTCTCTCTTTTTTGAGATAGAAATACTCATCCATCAAGACTTGTTTTCTTGTCTGCCCTACCTATCTAACAAAGGGTCAATAACATCTCATCTTGATGCCTTGTTTTTAAAGGTCAGCAGAAGTTTAAAATGAATCTCTCCCCATCTCTCTCTCTCCCACTCCATCTCCCTTCCCTCTCTCTATTCCCAACAAGAGTTCATAAATACAAGCATCACCGAGATAATCTTTAATGTGTAACTTATCGAGATGTCATGTAGAATAAAAAGCCTGGCAAATCCTTATAATGTGTTTGACGCCCCTGTCTCAAGAAGTCATATATTAAAAGGCACTGTATTTTCACAAAATCTGCAACAAAACAATCTGTTTCTTTTTCTCTTGTGTCTTATTGGGATCAGAAAGGCGTTTACTCCTATCATTTTACACAAACTTAAAGCCCCCTCTAGCGTTTTCTCAGTTAAACAATACAAACAACTACACTGTCGCTCATAAAGTTGGAATATTTTTGTTTTACCTCAATTTACGGAATTATTTTAAAAATAATTTTAAAATAATAGATCTAGATAATAGTATACATTCTCAGATTTTATTGAATAATAATTTGCCAATGTTTGTTTTGCGTGACTGCTAAAGCATGTGTATGCTACTATGCTTATCAACTAGGGGACCTACGTCCTTAAGTCATAAATGACAGGAATGAGGATTAATGCCCCACAAAAGGGCACTAATATAGCACCTCGACACGGTCTTGATCCTGGGGCATTAATCCTCATTACTGTCATTTATGAGTTAAGGGTATAGGTCCCCTAGTTGATAAGCATAGTAGCATACACATGCTTTATCACACATTGGCAAATTATTCCTCAATAAAATCTGAGAATGTATACTATTATCTTGATCTATTATTTTTAAATTATTTTATAAATAATTCCGTAAATTGGGGTAAAACAAAAATATTCCAACTTTATGAGCAACAGTGTAGGACATTAGCTTTACCTGTAGGTCATGAAGAGTTTCGGTCCACTCCCAAATCATAATCTTCTTGCCTTGCGTGGTCGACAGCCATTGTGCGGGACAGGCGTATTGTCAGTAATGGAGACGATGTCGAGTCCACCCATCTGTAATCCTTTGATAGAGGTCTAGAGAGCGAAAAATGCCGGGATAGAGAAAGGGAAACAACATGGATGAAGTTTAGGAGGTGAATGGCTGGTAGCAAGATCTAGGCAACGTATTTATATACCAGTCATCTCCCTTGCTATCAACTTTCCCACTCGCTGTAAAGAGGATATAAATATATATATTCCCCATGATATTCAAAGCACTATAAGGAATAATCCCACACACATCAATTTAATCATTCTATCTATATCTTCCATTTCCTAACATAATTCTTTAAACAAAATATCATATTCTATTAATATTACCCTCGAATTCCCACTGGTACTGTTCTAAATATAAAACACCTCTCAGCCTAAATCAATTAGTGGGAGCAAAAGATAGCGATAGAAATTGCGAGAAAATAACAAAAACAACGATGCTAAATTTCCACTTAAAGCAAGCCATGCCAATGAACTTGAATAATCAGTTTCACGGAAGTATATGCAACATCTCTTTATCTGACCGCACACTTACAACTGTCTCTCAAGAAGAAACAGGATCAGCAAATCCTATTTGCTTTCCGCCACGGAATAACCCCATAATAGAACATCAGTCATCGGCTAAAAACAATCCACTTCTTTGAACTCTCTGTAACGTTTAGGTTAACGTACGGGTGGCCAAAGTGCATTGCACAATCTTGCTCGAGGGCGAGAGATCCTTGTTTTCACAATTAGGACACACATGTATGCAGAAATAAATTGAAAACACGGAAAGACCCCTACAACCTCGGCACAACGCAATTGGCAACACTAAACAGGATGCACAGTTTCAAGTGCATCACATGTAGAGAGTCTTGTTCCTGTTCTCCTTTCGCATCAGTTTCAGTTTTCATTTGGATTAACAACATGCGCATCAAAGGGATCATTAGCCAAACGAAGCTCCCAACGCTCGCTCAAACTGGCAACGTTTGCCAGGGGTTTGGATTTCATCCAAGCTCCGTAAGCGCAGGACGCATTGTGAAATGTCGATGATGGATTACAAGCAGTATTCAGGCAAAGTCACTATACGTACATCAATTAAAGGTAATCGTTCAGTTTTGGCAACGAGCGCGTATATCAGAATAATTAAAGGTATCATATACAGAGTTTATGTTTCATAATACATAACATACACCCCCTCAAATAAAATAATAGGGTTGAGTAAACAAATAAAATAATAGGGTTGAGTAAACAAATACATGTAAAACACCAATAACACTAAAACATGAGCTGAATTTATAGCCTACAATTTACAGGAATATGAACATATGGGACGTGTGTGGATGCTTTATGTAAATTATATGTATACGTGTACATGTACATGTATGTAGTGATGATATCAGTATTCATCCAACACTCACTTATCCCCATGTTCTTTATGTACATTAAAGGTAAAGACCAGTATCGGAAACGCCCCAATTTCAAAAAATGAAATGGAAGCTCTCATTACCAATCATGTGAAAGAATATGTTTTGACTAATACATGATGAAAAAAACCGCCTACTAATTCATATATTTGGTAAATTTGTTTCTCTCATGGTCTGTGAGAGATATAGGGTAGTCCCATATACATCTTTCTGTGTATAGTGCTTGTAACTTTACGAAGAATGGGCCAAATTTCTTATCATTTTGATGATTCCAAAACCTTGCAGATGCTAGATGCTAGATGATCAACCTTTTCTGATCGATTCCACAACGTTTCTTTCACAATGCAATCGCATGACCATAACTGGTCTTTACCTTTAAAAAATTCTCCATAACCAGTACATATTTTCTACGAATATCATTTGGCAGGTACCATGATATTGTGTTTTTTTAAACATTCATGGCACATTGTGTTGGCGAACACAGTAGATGTTATACATGAAGACTAGATTTAAATGAATGTGAAGCCCCCAAGTATATATAAATATACATTACATACTACATAGCCAGGAGAAAGTAGGTCATATTAGGATTTAATTGCACAAATTAGAGAGAGGCTAGTCTAAAAAGATGGCTCTATTTCCAAACAAAAAAGGTAATTTCTTGACCTCTAACTGCCAGTTCAAGATAAATTGTACACTGTTATCAAAGCATAATTTGCTGAAGGCAATTCAAAAGAAAAAATCATGATGATAACAATCAAAATTAACTAAACAGGAGTACTTTTAAGTTCCAGGCATGTAATACAGGACAAAAAAAAATAAACAGAAAATTGTTGTTGTTGTTGTTTTTGGTCCTGCTTTATATCTGGTATATTTTGAGAACTCTGGATCAAAAGCGCTGGCCAAGAATCCCAATATTTTGTCCTAAAGGGGTCAATGGACTATTCAGATTCTATGGTCAATATAGCTAAAATTGTGTAATGCGTACCTGGCGCCCTGGTCCAATTCCTTTGATGACGACTCGAACAGCGTTCATTCCTTTATCCACAGCTTTCTGCAGGGGATACAATGAGACAGAGAGAGAGAGAGAGAGAGAGAGAGAGAGGAAGAAGAGAAAGAGAGAAGGAAGGAGAAAGAGAGAAGGGATAGAATGAGTAGAATAAAATAAGTAAAAGTTACAATGATTATCATAATTATTAAATGAATTCAGAGTCACAGATGCCAAAATAAGAACAAAACCTTACGTAATGTACAAATAGAAACTACATCTTTATGGATGGTAAAACTGAAATGACTTAATGTTCAATACTCTCATAACACACTATGCATTGCAAAATAGCAAGATAAATATAGCACTACTGGCAAGACCTTACCGCTTGTTGAAAGAAACAAGAACCATATTTCATAAAAACCCAGTATTTATCAGGACCATAAACAATGAAGTATCATCCAACGACTGTCATGACAATCAGGACTTTTTAAAATAGATTCTTTTTAACCGGCCAACAGGATTCACACTGCTTTGCCAAGATACTTTCCCTTGGGTTTAAATATATTTTTTTCTGAAAATTCTCCGCCCACAACCGGACCACAAGGTGACGGTAGGACCAATTTAGAAAATGGTAAAAGTGCAGGGAAGAAGAATACGGATGTGGTATAAACTCTGAGAGTGATTTGATATGGATATATAGGCTGGAGAGCACATACATAATGACCTGTTACTTCATTAAGTTCATTTATAAAGTGTTACTGTTATGTATTTCCCTGAATCTCAATGATGGTGTAATACTTAAAACAGACCAACACTGAGATGATAACAAACTCTCTGGAATGGGAGGATGTAATGTTGTCATGGTAACAAACTAATAACAACTGAATTGACCCTAGCCAAGCCAATGTCAATTTCATTCAGCATTTAATTTGTACTGCCACTCCATACCCAGAAGAAAAACAGAAACCGGTTTTTAGATATATACCAACGCTAGATGAATATTGATCAAAACAATGGGATGATTACCTGTCACAAATATTATAAAGCACTTTGTTAAATGCTAAATAAGAAAAGTTAGAATGAATGAATGAATTAATGAATGAACAAGATGTTATTATCATTATCATGTCATTGGGTACAAAAATAAAACTTGTTTTAGGCTAAGCAATTGAACAAGCCCAAACTTATTAAAAAATACCCAATTAATCTGAATTTCATCATGCACATCAGATTCTACTTGAAATGATGAAAAATATGATTTCCTTCAAAAGTTAAAAACAAGTCCTTCGCTTCTACGATACAGTCAACTTTTAATGCCCCTGAGGGCAGGTGTGGCAGATACAAATAAATTACGTGGGCAATTTTGCAAATTTAATCTCTAATTGAGTTGCTGCTTATCAGTATGCAAGCTAGTTTGCCCTATTGCCACATCTGTGGAATAATTGATGCATTCCGCAAATCTTATGCATGGTAATTGATCATTAATATCTCACAATTCTTCACTTCACTCCACTTTCATTGATAGCCTCTCTTCAAAAAAGGGAAATTTTTTCTTTCAAAATGTTTCTGATATCACCATCTGTTTCTATCCCACCCACTCTTACTCTTTTCCTCTTAATTAAGAGGAATTTACATAATAATAATAATAATATAACAAGAAATATCAATCGGGATCCCATGAAACTGCATTGCTCAATATATCGTATCTAGCCCATCGAAATATCGTACTAACACCACCCCCTTATACTTAATTTGAGTACACCCTTTAATGCTTTATCCCAATCTGTCCTAAAGTAAACAGGAAAAAAGCGTGTGCCAGTCATTGTTATTATCTATACAGCAGAAGGAGCAAAATCCCTAACAAAGAGATTTTCCGTCAATGTTTATGTCTTCGCAGCAGTGAAGCGATACTAAACTAGACCTGAATACCTAAAGCGGCCTTGGCCCAAATGACAATTTACCATGGATTATTAATAACACGGTGGACTAATTTAGTGAATAGCATGGTACCGGTATCCATATCTATGAGTCATAGTCAAATTTGGCAACAGCGAAGGGAGGAGGGAGGGAAGAAAAAAAGGAGGTCGGAGTGGTACAGGAGAGAAACGATACCTGATTTGGGGCGGGGGCGGGCGACAAAAAAAACGAGTGGGCGAGATCATGTGACCTCTGCCATTTGGGATGGGAGTATGAGACGGTGAAGCGGGTTTGCAGGCAAGTTAGCTGCAGCGTTAGGGTTTATAAACAATGCAGAATAGGTAATAATCCCAATGCAGTGAATCGTTCGCAATATCAGGGATTATTCTTCTTTTGAATGATTAACTGTGTCTTAGTATCAGAATACAACAAAAAGATGATTTGCAGGCTTGATGATTGCAAATGATCCCTACCTAATATTAAACCCTGAAATAGTTGGCCTACTTTAAGAGTAATAATGTCTGTTCATCTTACTACCATTTTTTTTTATTTAAGTTGGTAAATAGGAAGATAACAGCAGCAAACTTTATTTCTTCTTGGGCGAAATGAGAAGTGAACAATAATTCATATTTGTAGTTGTGATGATCCACACAAACAACTGCCCTAGTAAACTTTTGCACGATGGATTTCAATGTGACTGAGCCACTACAGGATATTTTTTGAACATGCAAACAACCAAGATCAAGTCTTTCCCCATCACTTGCGAATCTAACTATTACTGTACATGTACGGCTCTTGAATACAGTAAGGTAGAGATGGTTTAAAACGTGAGAATGCTCTCAATCTGTCGGCCAAGGTCCCCTAAATCTGTATCCAAGATGGCCGATTTGGACAGGGACCAAAACATTCATCAGAGCGCACTTCTCTTTTTCCCGAAGATGAAAAAGACCGATTGCACACCGTGACTCATGCTTGCTTGCTTTCAAAAATAGGCATCATCTGTGACAAATGGCGCAGATTCTCAAAAAAGGGAGGGAGAATCTTAGGGATGGAGGGGAAAATATGCGGCTTTGATGACTTGCATGCATGCCCGAGTCGGGTTGCCAATTAACAGAAGAAAAAAAATCAAAGGATAATGATGATGAGATATTACAGATATTGGTTATGACTTGAATGGTAATTGGTCATGTGATAACTTTCCTCAAACCATCTATTATATGAGACAATTTAGCACAAGAGGTCAGTTTCAATTTTTCCCTTACTTTATCAAAAATCTGTCTGATTCCATTTTGATTTAAAAAGTATTTCACATAGGGAAACTCAAATGCAGAGTTATCGAGAGATTGGTGTTCAATAGGTTCCAGGCAATTTTGGTTACTCGTAAGGTCAGAAACAAAAAATTAGGTTTCTCAATTTTCTTTTCAGTTCTTGGGCCAATAAAACATCAGAGGAATATAACAAGAGTTGTTTTCCTTTAAAAAGATTTTGCATTGGGCTTTCAGATCATATAGTCCCATCTGATTAGTCATGTTATGAAGGCTGATTTTAGCCTGATCAAAATTAGCAGTTATAAAAACTGGGGCTTATGGAATGGGTCTCATCTACATGTACTTCAAATACAATAAGAAGAACTTACAGAACCTTCATGTTTTGAAGATTTGTTGAGTTAAAGATAAAGCTGAGTTCTGGTAAAATGACTACCGTACATTATATGAAAAGATGCAGCCTAGAAGCAATTAGTATAAGAATCAGGGTGCTCTTTTAGGTTTTGGAATCATAAACATGATAACTAAATGATTCTGTCCACAAAAATGGGTTTATGGGACTACATACATGCATGCGCGTGAAAGTTTGGTCCAAACTTTCTATGCTATTTCTTGTTATTCTTTGTGTAGAATAGCATCCTCATCTGGGAACATACCTCGTGTAATATTCTTCTAAAATTAGTATTTACAGAGAATGAGAAAGCCAGAAATTATATTGTCATCTCTACCAGGACTCAACTTTCAATTTTCAAAGACAGGCACATGTTGTTGTACTTACTGTAGCAGCTGCAATAGCGGCTGTCTGAGCGGCAATGGCAGTCCCTTTCTTGGCATTCTTGAAGCCTTCTGTTCCCTGAAAGATATAAAAAGAAACATCCAAATATTTAGGATTCCATTATAGGATGTCATAAAACATCTGTACTTCCCCCAACATGAGGATATCTCAAGAATTAATTAATGACTTCCTGTGAAGAAAGAGAACTAAATGTTCACACATGAAATTACATTTTAATATCGATAATGATTGGATTCATGAAGAGCTTTTCCCAGATGATACAAATCACAGATTACTCACATTACCCAGCTTACAATAGATTGAAATGCATCAAAACAATGTCAAATCATGGCATTACCGCATCAAAACATATAGGACCCTCTATGTATCATGATCAGTTGCTAACAATCGCACAATGATTGCTGTATTAACAACACTATGACAATGCAATGTATCAATGGCAGATCTTCAAAATTGCCCTTATTAATTCATGCATATTGTATGCAAATTTAAGCAAATTTTCATGCACTTGGCCAAGAAGGTATTGCAAGCATTTTATCTCTCCCTCTTTAAAGATATTATTTCTTTGGCCACACTCCTGTTTGCTATTCAAACTGGGAAGAATGATTCCAGCTTGGAGAAGCTTTTCTTGGAGCCAAAGTAGTCTAGAATGTATAATATGCAAATGATTTCTAAGAGAAAAAGAGAATGAAGTAATGAAACAAATCAACATCTGCCCACTGTCCCCCCCCCCCCAACAGTATTCCTCTGCCTGAAGTTCATTCATTTTCTGTGGGGAGTTTCCCTTTGCTAATCGACATTCGTCCCCTGCCCTATCTTCACCCCCCCCCCCCCCCCTCCTCCCCGTCCCACAGCAGTCCACACTGTATGTTTTGGCCTGATCATTCAATTTCTGTGGGTGTTTCCCTTTGATAACTCATAAAACACATCCCCCTTCTGCCCATTGTGTATGTGCATTGCCAGTATTCAATAACTAGATGATTGTTATTGTTGCTGTATCTGGAAAGTCTCAGACAAGCTGTCATCTTTCCCCATGAGATTGACCTGATAGTTGCTATAAAGTTCAAATCCTATAAAAGAGTAAGACTTCATCATTTAGAAAAATTTGGTGGAATGATGGAATTCTGCCCATCTTTTGGGAATTCTTATAGAATTAAATTTCAAATTGATATTCACTATGTAAACATTATATCAGGCTTTACAAAAATAGGATGTGAAAACTAGGTCATGTCGCAGCCAGATGTAACAGAATGCTACATAATTATTAAACAATGATTGTGTACAGATGAAACAAAGTCAATCTGAAAACATATGAAGGCAAAGCTATATTTGTACAGGTGCACTAGGTGTTTATTCCAGAATGTATACATGTAGGCTATACAGAGTCATAACATCAAACGACCTTAAAGGTACAATTTTGCAAAAAGCGGGAATTGGAAAATTAGGGTACTGAATTACTTGATGGGAGAGAATTTGAAAAAAGAATGGGAAGAATTTAGCCAGTAGGCATATACTCAGAAAAGTGATACAACAAATGATGAGGTTAATTTTATGATACACCAAGTCCCGAGACAGACTATATTTGATCGGTTTGCAGGCAAAAAGTGTCGGTTGAATTATAGGCTCTGAATAATCTAGGCTCTAGACAAGTCCCTATATGCCTTAAGCTGGATTTAGGCTTCACTCAAGAAAACAAAGCGTAATGTTTACAATGTCAAATTAGAGGCTGGGCTGGCCGACTACTACTATTTTGATACAAACTTGCTCTAGCTGGCAAAGCTAGGGTAATTATGCATTAGAATCAGTCGGTTAATTAGCCTTCCTTGACCAAGTGGACATCTGGAGACGTTACCACTTATTGTCGTGGTGCGAGGGGGTCATTATCAATATACGCACTATACCTCTGGGACTAAGATAAGCTAACGAACATGTTGCTGTTTGCTCTCTTATGGTATTAGGCCAACAACAAAAGAGTCCTTGATTTAGCTCATGCTGCAATGATAATTATAAACCTTTAGGTCAGTTAGGAACCCCATGACTTTTATAAGCCGATCACCTGTCTGATTATGAAGATATTTATGATTGAAAATCGAAATAAAATTTTGCGGTTTTCATAACACTACAGTCTTTTGGAGAAAACGAGTATGGTAAAACCGGTCACTCAAAGGTTTTTACTTTTTTGAGGCACTTCTTGATCATTTTGAAGCGTAATTTTTTTGAGGGCTTCAAAATAACACCATATCACAGACACTGATAACACATCGGACCATGCATCTCAGATTTAACATTGTTAAACGATGCCTTTATAGTATTACAGTGCTTCTTATCCTGCACATCACACCCCAACTTCCCCTGAATTAAAACCCCAATTTTTTTTTTACGGCCACCCTAACTCCCATTATAAATTTCTGTAAAATTAGTACTGTTTATATTTTTTTAAACTTGTATTTGCCTATGTATTTGTAAAGTATTTGTTGGAATTAAAATAAACAAATTGAATTTAATTTAATATATAAAAGAGGCCTACATTGGGTAACAACATCAATGCACTTCAATTTTAACCAGTATGTAGCAGATTGTTGATGACTTTGGTGTACATGTTTCATAAAAACAGACTGCCATATGGTTGCGCTAATGATTCCACCACTTGCAAATGCTCGTCAAGCATCGGAAAACAGAGCGTGAAAAAAAAATTGGGGATACGTACACGAGCCTACCTATTCCGAGACAGCTGAGAATCTCCTAAACAACAGCCTACGAGGGCAATTGACTGATGTCATGGCATAAATATAATACCTCCCAACTGGAGCATATGCTGTTTGTATGGACGTAGGGAGAGGCTGTTTGCGTTGTTGTGCAAGAAATATCAACCTCATGCTTTATTCTTTTTTTGTTTTCCTACGGCTCATCCCGCCCACTCTCCTCATCTCAATACCTCCCTCTTTACCTCTTCCTCTCACACCGTCTCTCTCTCTCTCTCATTCACTCTCCCTCTAGATTCTCTTTCTCTCTCTCTCTCTCTCCACTGGAATCATAGTTTCTACACTGAGTTATTCTATCTACCGGTAAACTTTCCTCTCCCAAATTCTCTTCTTTCTACAGTTCAACATTTGTCTTTATTTCACCTCCTCTCTCTATTATTCATCACCCTCTGTGTCTCTTTCTCTCTCTCCCGCTTGCTTTCTTGCCAACCCAATCTCTTTCTCTCTTTCAATACCCCCCTAGAGAAAACGAATTCATTGACCCACTTCTGCGATCGCATCTCCTTGACAGAGCTAAATGAGGAGCTCCCGCATTTTATCCATATTTTGACCTATCTGGCGAAGCGTAGCACCATGAAAATCAAAATCGCTCGCCTGGAACGGGCTTTCCTCTTACGAAAAATAATAAATCATCTGCTGAAAGCCAGAAGGGCATTAGCTCATATCATATGATCATTATTTAAAGGGCAATCCAACCATTTTTATAATAATACATTTTTTTTATAATACGTTCATTTGTTCGAGGGAACAAAAATGAGGGAACAAAAATAAGAGGAACAGAATGAAAAAACTTAAAATAAATCAGAGCATTAAGAAGAGAATTATGAATGTTTGAAATATGGGATCACTGTTAGCTATCCAGATCTCAAATTGGCAATATAGTGGATTGTGACTACCGGTACGACTCTCCTTTTTGTTGTGTACAATAATATCATTCATTTTTGCGTTCCTCTGAAGTGCCTTTTCCTTCAGGGCACTTCTCAAAATGTTTTATATTTTGTGATTAATGATATTTGATTCCTTATTTTGTTTGTTCTACATTTATACCATTTTTTGTATGAGATCACACTGCAAAGATACTTACACATGACGTGCGAGCTACAGTTCTCCCTGCATGAACAAAAAAAAGGAAGAGAGAGAAAAATAATTATCAAAAGATATCAAGTCAAAGACATTGAGGAAGAACATAGACCTAAGTTATACACATAAATAAATGAAAGTAAGATTTGTACAATTTACTTATGAACTGGTAATAATTCACAATTCTGTATTTTTGGCACCGAAAGGTGGACCTGTGCATTATACGAGTAGCCACTATTATTATTATCATTAATATAAGGTCTGAAACAAAAGTCCCACATGAATAGAATAGCAAGTTTTTCATTTTTTCCATATTGACTATTGAGACAACATTCATAGTTTTCTCAAGAGCACAGCCCAGCAACTGTGCTCCAAATTCACTTAATAAAGAAAAAACAAAGCTTTGAAAAGAATAGGTAACTATAAATATTAATATGCTTATTTTAACAAAATCAAAATCAAATTGTATTCAACAAGTTAAGAAAATCTTAACGAAATAGATATATAGGAATGAGTGAGTACCTGCATGTTTCTACCCTTATTTGTAGACGTGAATGAAAGAGAGAAATAATGCAAATGGACTCCACATGTGCTTGTATTCAATAGGAAATTACTTCATTAACCTTTCCAGCCACCCACAAGGATAGAACGCAGTGCTTCTTAACGAGGTTGTTAACCATTCCCTATCCATCAATCATAAATATGAATTCAACAATCTAAATACATCCGACAACTGACAAGGCAGTTTCCTTCATGATTAAATGAAAATAAAATTGATTATACCCTGTGGTATTTTCAATTTTAGGAGGAGTAATCGCAGAATCCTTTCTAAAACCACCGAATAGAGAAAATAATTCATTCTGCAACCTAACAATGGTTTGCATTATTATTCCATTCAATTATGTTTCTATTGAATTTGATGAATAATTTTGGAGGCACCTTGCAAAGCATTGGTATAAGCAGTAGGCCCCATGTCTGTGCAATTATATGATAGAGTCATGTACAGCTCTTTTAAATATGAATCATATTAAATGAACATCTTGAAAGAAATACAAAAAGCTTGTCACAAGTGTATGAAAAAGTGGAATCAAGTTTTACAAAAGATAACTGGACATAATTTATGAGCTCTCTCGTCCTTATCATTTCCATATGGAAGAGTACCACATGATTTTTCTTGAAACGCTCTCATGCTTTAAAGTAAAATCAGAGTTTATTATTTGTACCAAATCATAAACATTTTTATTTTATCAAAGTGATCAGAAAACTGAGTCAATCTTGCTGAATATCAGACATCAGCACTGCACACAAATGGATATACACTGTACTGAACTGATCCACATTTCCATGTATGTGGCATAAAACGTGGTCCAAGTTTTAAATTACTTTGAGTTTTACTTGAAATATGAGGGCATTCCATAAGCAATACGTTTCACAAAACATTGCTACTAAACTATTCTTCCACTTAGTAATATATTACAAAAAAATGAGAAAGCTTACAAATTATTCCTTACAGGGACACCGGCAACCAAAAAATTACTTTTTTTTTTTACGAGGGCTCTTTTCAGATTTTCCCTTAAAAAAATAGCCCCCCTTAATTATTTTGCGGTGGCTATTTTGGAGCTCAGGGGGGCTTTTTTTTTAAGGTTGTATTTTTTTTAAACGCGGTTTTACCTAATTAAATTCCAAGCAAAGGCAAATATAGATACAATTGTAGCATACATATGTCATGTAGAGTATTGCAGACATTCAGATACCCATGATTTATTCTAACCCTGTAAACGATCATCGGATCGGCCGCCGATGAATGCATACCTACATTATAATTCAAGATGGCGGCCTGCATGTTTTGCCTCTGCTCTTAGACCAATATTATTAATTTCAAAGTCATGAAAAGGCACTAAATATCAACAAACATGGTCTACAACAACTCCAAATAACAAAATAATCCCAGCCATGAACTTTTTTTGAGCATTTGATAGCCAAAAACTTGAAAGTTTTCATCATTAAAAAAAAAAAAAAAATACCTACATTATAATCCAAGATGGCGGCCCGCATGTTTTGCCTCTGCTCTTAGATCAATATTATTAATTTCAAAGTCATGAAAAGGCACTAAATATCAACAAACATGGTCTACAACAACTCCAAATGACAAAATAATCCCAGCCATGAACTTTTTTGGAGCATTTGATAGCCAAAAACTTGAAAATTTTCTTCATTAAAAAAAAAAAAAAAAATAAAAAAATCGGCCGATTTTTTTTGTCGCTCTTCCGATCCGATACCGATCAAAGGTGCGAGGGTGTTGCTCCGATCTTCCGATCCGATCAGAGCCCCAACTTACAGGGTTAATTTATTCGCTTTGTGTTAAACGTGTGGCTTTATGATTTACATATACATGTAACTAAAACTTGTCAAAAGGAGTGTTTTGTTTAACTGTTCGTTTTTCATATCCTAAGAAAATATTATCACTGACACGCGGGCTAGGAATTAATTTTTTTATGGGGGCTACTTCCTTAAAGCCATATTGTAAGCTGTAACAATAAGTTGTGTTTTTCCTTAGCCATCATACTACTAGCAACCAAATTGGTAGGTAATATGTTATTTAGTCTTTTTTTCTGTCCCAAATTTAATTGTTATCATGGACAATGCAATCCCATTAAAAAAATGTAGACCAACTCCCTTTAAAATTGTGTTATTTAGACCATTTATAACCATTAAATGTGAGTAAATATTTTTAATGTTGTCCCACATACCGATGTAGGGTCTATTTGTTATGCCGAAACATGCAAAATCATGGCCTTATTTTTTTTTTTATAGACTCTAATTCTAAAGGCCAAGCCAAAGCTAGTTTCATTTCGTAGACAGAAATTGATGTCATCATCACTCATGACAATTGGCCTGGCATCGATCGTATAGACTATAAATAATTTAATTTAATTAAACAGTTGTAAGAAAGATTCTGAGGAGTAGGAACATCCTTTATATATTTATTTACGGTTTTTTTTATAACAAAATTCAATTTCTGTGTACGAAACTTGCTTTATACCGATTTTACAGGAAAAAATCCGGCATTGATTTTGCACGTTTCGTTATTACAAATATATCAGTATGTGGGACAACAGTAAAAATATACTCGCATTTAATGGTTTTAACTTATAAATAACACAATTTTAGACGGAATAACATTTTTTTTAATGGGATTGCATTGTCCATGATAAAAATTAGGGCCAGAAAAAAGACTAAATAAACATATTACGTACCAATTTGGTCGCTAGCAGTTGAGCTCTCGTCACTCGCAAATACTTATTTGCTTCATACAAGGAGCGTGCGGGCGCGCGCTGGAGCTGAGCTAGTACGTTTCTGTGTATTGTGAACGTGTGCGAACTGCCTATGCATTCATGCTGTGCACGAAACTACATCGGGGCCGGTGGCCTGTCCGGCCGCCGGGAGCTTAGGCGCAGGCAAGCGGATACCGCTGTAGATCTAGCTACAGTAGATACGACCGCCGATCCGCTGCAACTCACAAAACTTTTAAAATGTTGATGGAAGTTTCTAGTTTTGGAGTTGGTAGTTGGAACGGAGATTTCACTCAGACACATCAATAAATTGGTTTATTAATTCATAGGGAATATCAATTTATGGCGGGGGCGATTTTTCAAGATATATTGATTTTTTTTCGCCCTCGTCTTGATTTTTACCGTGGCGATTTCAGAGGTTTAGGGGGCGAATCGCCCGTCGCCACCGTGTATTTTTTTCGTTGGACACCAGTAGGTTTCACCCAATGAGCCTAAAAAGAGACCCCAACATGGCAGAGTCCCATATGGTGCTGTACAATTGGCCATTTTCGAAGTGTAACAAAATTTAACACATACGTCTTGGTGAAGTGCCTGAATACAAATGATTCTATTCACATGTTACAAATAAATGTATATCAATAGTCAGAATGTGAATTGCATATATATATATTACATGTTTTTTTGAAGGGCAAGCTGTATTATTTGTCCTACCTAGCAACAAAATAATGTAATCAATTTGCATTCTGATCACTGGGATACAATTATTTGTAACAGATGGATACAATAATTTCTATTGAGGCACTTCACAAAGACACATACTGTATGCATTAAATCGTCGCTGTTTTCACGAAGTGACGGTAGTGAAAAAAAATTGCATTCACTTTGCGTTACGATTTTCCTCACTACCGTCACTTCGTGAAAACAAGGACGAAATGTAGTTACATTACACATTTTTTGTTTGTAGTTTGAAGCCTGTAAAAGCCTGAAAACAGGGTTGCAAGTTTTCATCTCTTCCACAACTAAACCTTTAGGCTGGTGTTACGAACCTTACATATAGTCATGTATGTTAATGTTAATTATGTGCATGAGCAGAGGAATGGCTTCAAATGGGGTGATTTTTTCATTAAAACTATTTTTTTTGTTTTTTGGTATTAATTCTGTTGCTACTGTTTTGTTGTGAAGTGCAGAAAGATATAATTGTATAATTTATTGTCACCTTTTTGTGACACTGGTAAAATTGAAATACCGGTAGGGTATTTGTTGCAGCCACTCTTACCTGTATGTTCAGCAACTGAAACATGTGTGTTGTTGTAGGTTGCCTTGATGTTGACGATGGGTAGTTGGTCATACGGTATACCATTAAAGATCAGCGATTCGGTGCTAGATGGGGCAATGAACATGTTGCTGCAATAGGGAAGAGAAAAAAAGAATGCAACAATTAATTAACTATTACACATGTTCTACACAGAAAATATCTAGTTTATTATTAAAGGAAAAGTAATATGAAACCTGATTGTCTTTACAGTTTTGGTCTTTAAGTGCAGGATATTTTCTTCTCTCACTCCATTATGCCCAAGAGGAGTATGAACTTGTGAATCAATTATACACAAGTACAATCACTGAATACAATTTATTAAAGAAGTAAAAATGTGAAACCTTCAATGCTTCATTGCTTTCCCCATCATTTCACGCACATAACTTTTTTCTATTCAGTTGTTATTCCATGCGGCAAAATAAACATGTATGGGCCCCCACAAATCCAAATACGGCAATAGTCACACCAAAATAGATGAAAAGAAGAGAGGAAACGATGTATAAAAATAACAATTGTTAATACACGATTCACACACCCACTGAAAGACTTAACTTCACACAATTCTATTTCTTTCCGCTAATAACAATAGACAGGCATTTTCACCAAATATCTTCTCCTAATACAAGTACACTGTGTAAACATTATCGGTGCTTGGCCTGCACGTGCACAAATCTCCTATTGATTGGATATATCTGGGTTAGGTTTGTATTGGCGGCAATTTTTCTTTTCCTTTCCTTTCATTCACATCTTTGGGGTGACCTTCGGAGAAAATTAGGTCAGTGTGCAGAGAGGAAGAGAGAGAGGGGAAGAGAGAGAGAGAGAGAGGAAGTGGGAGTGGGACGTGTGCAAATGAAGCAGTCAAAGTGCCTAAAATGCAAATTGTATACAAATTCTGACTTTAGCGAGAAGTGATTTTGAAAAATATATAATGCAAAAGAACGATAAAAACAGTCCTGAGACTGATAGTACTCCGAAAGTCAGAATTAATGTTAGCATGCCTACTGCAATACCACTGGCAGTAAACATATCAGAAAATGAACAGAACAAGGCAAGTTCTTTCTTTCTGCAACGGATCCCAAAGCCGACAAAATGGCCGCCTTAATGGTGTGTGCGTTTTGTCCTCGCTCCCGCATTTCCAGACCCAAAATAACTGGCGCTTTGCCCAACTCCGTCATCGAGAGATACTTACAATGGCATGCATTATCATTTGATAGTTTCGAATGCCCAGACCAAGCGTCCACAGAGGCGCATCTATACATGGGAGTAAGTTTGGCAGGCGTCCAAAGATTGGTCCAGTTCGCAACATGGCAGAACTGCAAGTCTAACTGCATGACCGCCCTACATATTCCTCCTCAGCAAGTGGCCATAGTCAGCCCTAGTATAGGCTTCACGAATGTAGGTATTTTCAAGGCAGGATGCAAGAAACAATAACATGCAGAAAGAACTGCATACAGTGGCATACTCAGGGGTGAGGGGCACAGGGACCATGCCCCTTCCCCTCCATGCATGCAAAACCATATATGGTATACCCAAGTACCATGAAAGAAATGTGCCCTTATTGTGCCCTTATTGTGCCCTAATTGTGCCCCCCCCCCCCCCACCAGCAAGAAAGAAAAAAATATGTGCTCCCAGCAGCATTCATGTATCTAGACAACAAAATTCATATGGAACATATATTTTAAAGCATTGCCACATATTTTTAAGACTTGTATTGCAGAATTCAATCTCCTACATATGTATGAATATCAAAACTTTGAATGTCTCGCAGAGTCGACATACTGAAATGCTATCATTTGAGTGGGCAAAATGCTTACTAAAGTCTAAAGAACGAGTATTGTAATACATTACATGTAATGGCAAAGATGGATTGGATACTAGAGCACCTCTTTTAGAAACATAATCCTAACATGTGTGGGTGTCAAGCATTTCAGCCCACATGGTGCAATCACTAAGACATAATGGTAAAGCTTTAAATTACAAAGTTCAAACAGCATCATTTACAAAAGTGACAAATAGCCTATATTTAGCTATTTGCTCACTAACCGAGGCTACTAGAACTATGAGGCAATACAAGACCTGACTCCTTTTGTATCAAATGCTGGTGGTTTTGTATTACCTTTTCTTCCTGTTTACCATCAACATTTATTCTCTTCTAAAACCCATTTAGATCTCTTTTTTCATTGCACCTTAAAAGAAATGCAAACAACTTAGTGCAAAAATAAGTAAGGGGCTCTATCACTCACATTTTACTTCAACTGAAATTTCAATTTGCATCACTTCATCAATCTGACCATTAACACAAGACATCAAACTCCGCTTCTGCAAAGTATAGCTTTAATTTATCAAATATTAAGCTCTGTGATTTTCGTATATCCTTTCGAATGAAACCTCGACACTTCATCAAAGATAATGATGGATTGGTTGAGAGAGGATAAAATCAAACGATCTGGCTACAAAGCTGCACGCTCGAGTGCTTTCATCATATTACGTTTCCCTCCATCTTTCTTCAGCAGCGCTCCTTCCGCGTGATTATTCGAGTGTAAAATTAAAAACGCAATCTTCCATGCGACTATAATGAGAGGGCAGCCTTCATTTTATCTCCCATAATTCACTCTCCTTCCGGATTCATCACTCACCGTAAATCTCTTGATATTAGTAATTTGATTTTCGTTAAAACACAGCACATGGGAATGGGATCTTCCAAAGCTACCCAAGAAAAACTGCACTAATGGATGGCTTTCACAAGCTGTCTGTTACTTTTGTTTTGAAAATGCAAATTCTCACTCTCCCTTGCTTACGTATATTGTATGCCTTCCAAACCCCTATTATATTGCTTGCATTGTGGAAAGTGAATAAGTCTTGTGCTGGTTATATGTAAAACACTGCCATAGACACTACGATCTACCTTAGATGTAGACTTAGTGATGATGTCATAATGACTTTGTAAATTACAATGTGAAACAGGCACTGTAATTGGATGAATATTGCAGTAACATCTTTCAAATGAATAGAATTTTGATTAAAATTGAGAGTTGAGATCAAATGAATAGCATTTCTGATGTGATGTTGTAACACCCCCTTCTCTATATAGATACATTTCTAGATGAAAGCAACAAAAAAAATGGAGATTTCTTGATGCAGAAAAAAACCATGTAAGCATTGGTTTACTAAAGTGACTAGACAGAGAAAATAAAACAGTTTCCAAATTAAACCTTTTAAACATAAACTTCCTTTTTCTTTTAAAAATAAATATCAAATACTCAAGATTATAAATGAATTATGCCATTATCCCTAACTTCCCTGTGGAAATCATATATCTCTTAGAATAAATTAATGTATTATTACTAAAAACAATACCAAAAAGTATCTCTTTGATAATACTAAAGGCACTTTACATGCATTTTTTTCTACAAGGTTATGAAAAAATATTGACTATTCGACTTCGAACAATTTCCAAGTATAAGAGTTTATTTTGGCCTGATCAAGATACAAGAACACATTTACTAATTACCATATTTACTGCAATCATCTTTCTAAGATTAGAAACAAATCACTCTTTTAGTATCACTCTACCCCATTTAATACGACCATTTCAATCACATCCTACCAACTTTCCATAAATAGAAAAGAGCAAGTGACAATTCTGAGAAAATGCAACTGCACAACAGTTGCCTGTATATGCTTGGATATTATGACAAGAAAACAACACAGCCAGGCTGCAGTGCAATTAAACGCATCTTGCCGTTCCCAGATGGTGCGTTGTACCTTAGCCAAACAAGAACCAATGACGGTGTATATCCGGAGTACGTGGGTGTCATTGAACTGAGTTGCCGCTCACGCATGCCAGTAAAATGTCAACGCAGGCGAAGCGACAACTGCCTCGTATACAGAGAGAGAGAGAGGTGATATTGTGTTGAAGGTAAGATGGAGAATCGATGGAAGCGACAATGACAAGGTTAAACGGAAGAAGAGCTTTCAAAATGAACATTTTGAATGATAGAGGGAGAGGAGAGGGAGAGGGAGAGTGAAGAGAGATGAAGGAAAGACTGAAAGAGAGAGAGAGAGAGAGAGAGAGAGAGAGAGGGGGGGGGGGGTAGAGAAAGAAAAAAAAAGGAAGGAGAAAAGGACATGGTAGAAAGAAAAAGGAGAAAGATAAACAGAGAAGGAAGGGGAGAGAGAGAAGGAAAGGGGAGAGAGAGAGAGGGAGAGATAGAGAGAACAGAAGTGGGGTAGGAGGGAAAAAAGAAAGATTGGATAGGTTGGACGGCCGGAGAAGGATATTGTAGGGAAGTCAACAAACTTTCCAGACTATTGACTACACATGTTAAATATCAACTGTACTGTCGTTGTTTCTAATGATGCACAGCCATAGTCACTCTAAGTCTGATATACCGTAATGTCAACTTTAGTTACCCAAGCTTTCCTTGTCCGACAAACCAAAATCAGGTCTGTGATTGCAGACTATACCCGATACCGTATATAATAACATAGATGCTCACGGAGCAGCTTGGCATTGCCTGCCTCGTATTGCTTTCATGTTCCACATGGCCTTTAAGTTCAAGCACAGCTGCCTTCCACAATCCTATGTGTGTGTAACTGTATCTTTCCGCTTGGGAAGTGCGCAAAACTACACAACGAAGGCAGGCTATAAACGTTGTGGGTCGAGTTCAGCAACGTGGCCTACATTCCTAGTGCCCATACAATATGCACTTGAGCCTTCCTATAGCATAGAGAGACAACCCGTAGTAGTACTTAAAGCAAAACAGTTTTCAAGGAGAGAAATTCTCAAGACTCTACATGAAACTTGAAGACAAAAAACAAGCATTGAAAGGAATATCATGTAGAACAGTTAAAGCCCTGAAGGTAAGACTCCTCACATCGAGAGTTGCCCAAGAATATTAAATTTCTTTTGAAGGTAGGAGTCTATCAAGACTTTTTGAAAGCCTTAAAGTAAACAACAGAATCGACACAATCACTGATTAACTTTTGAAAAGACACACCAAGATTATCTGAAAATGTGTTTTTCATAAGTTACATTTTTTTTTATTCTGTTGGGATTTAAAAAAAAATCATAACCATAGAAGAAATC